AGGGGTGCAGGAGAATGGGGGGGGGGCTCTGGTGATGGGCACAGGCTCTGGGGGTAAAAGCAGCGATGAGGGGTTTGGGTTGCAGGAATGGGCTTTGTGTTGAGGCATGGGGTTGGAGTGTAGGAGGGGATATAGGCTCCAGGGTAGGGTCAGACATGAGGAGTTCAGGATACAGGAAAGGACTTCAAGCATGGTGCACCATGAAGGCAGGGGACTGGACTTAAGGATCTCTCAAGGTCCCTTCCAGTTCTAGTATTCTATGATTCTATGTAGTTGGAGTGCAGGGTGGATTAAGGCTCTGGCTGAGGATGTAGACTCTGGACTGGAGCTGGAGCTTGGGGTGCAGCAGAGGCTCTGGGTTGGCACAGGGCAGTGTTTCTTAAACTTTTTGAGACCACGGAACACCAAACAATAATATTTTTTTATGCGGCACGCCTATGAAAATTTTCTTCGAAAACAAAATTGTTGTCACACAAAAAAAAGACAAAAACAAAAAAGTAACAAAACCAAAGAAGAGGTCGTGGCACACCTGCGAGTTGTTCATGGAACACTAGAGTTCCGCAGAACATAGTTTAAGAAACACTGGCACAGGGTATGGTGGTGCACGAGGGGATAAAAGCTATGGGTGGTGTTTACATCAGGCAGCTCCCAGGAAGCTGCCGGCATTGCCCTCTGGCTCCTAAGTGGAGGTGTGACTATATGACTCTCCGCACTGCCCACACCTGCAGGCACCGCTCCCTCATTGGGTGAGGTTCCTGGCCAATAGGAGCTGCTGAGCTGGCACTGGGGGCAGGAGCAGGGGCAGTGCATAGACACCTCCCATAGCTGTCCCTCAACTTAGGAGCCAGAGAAGATGTCAGCAGCTTCCTGGGAATTACACAATGCCTGCTCTGTCAACAGGACTTTTAATGGCTCAGTCAGCACTGCTGACTGGAGCCACCAGTGCCCCTTTTCTACCCAGTGTTCTATTCAAAATCTGGACATCTGGCAACCCTAAACAGACTGGCAATCTTTTCTGGAAACATCCCAGGAGTTAGCCGATGTTGGCCCCATTGAGAAAAGGCTAGATTCTTCTGACTCACAAAAACAATTTTACCCTTTCCAGTGACACAGTAAGTTGGGGTTGGATCTCTAGGAAGACCTGGACTGAGCAAACCTGCGATAGTTATTTGTCAACAAGGCCAAAACCCAGGACTCTACATACCATATGGACTTGGTATTTGAGCAGCTTACTTATAGAATCTATGAGGATCTTTGAAATC